TTTCAACATTATCTTCTCCCTTAGAAACTCCACAAAGTGTTAGCTCTTGTTATTCTACAGGTTCTTGTGGTACTGTATATTTATTTCTCTTTTTTTGTGTGAGTGTGTTGGTCCTGGGGCTTGAACTCAGGGCCTGAGTATTGTCTGTGAGTTTTATTGCTCATGGCTAGCACTCAAACACCTAAACCACAGCTCCATTTCTGGCTTTTTTTGTGGTTATTTGGAGATAAGAGTCTCAGAAACTTTCTTGCCTGACTGGTTTTGAACTTTGACCCTCATATCTCAGCCTCTTGAGTAGCTAGGATTGTAGGAATGTACCACTGGCTCCCTGCTTATTTCTCATTTTTTCCCTTCTCTGTTGTTCAAATTCAATTTCTATTGACCTATCTTCAAATTTATTATCTCTGTTATCTCCATTCTTCTCTTATGCCCATCTTGACACTCTAAAATTTTTAAGTAGTGTGCTTTTCAGTTTTCAAATTTCATTTTGGTCCTTCTTTTATGTTTTATTCCTTTGCTGAAATTTATAATCTTTATATTCTCTTAAAACTCATTCATTTATCCTTACTTGATGGGACATTTTAGTAATAGTTGCTTTAACTTTTTATCATTGAATTCCCACTTCAATATCTTAGCATTGGTGTCTACAAATTGCTTTCTCTCATTAAAGTTGAGATGTTTCTTGGATCCTTAGGTGTTAAATAATATGGAGTCATATCCTGCAGTGGGAGGAAGAATTCTGGGAGAATTCTTATATTCTTTGTGCAATTACTCGGGTTAAAATTCTAGGTGTTTCAAGTTTTTGCTTGTTTTTTTTTTTCTCACAGCTGATGCCTTACCGATTGAGCCAGGCTTCCAGTGTGGCATTTGATGGTTAATTTAGAGTCTCTGACTTTTCTGACAGCTGGCTTTGAATCTCTATACTCAAATCTCAGCCTCCAGAGTAGGTAGGACTGCAGATGTGAGTCACCGGCACTTGGTTACTTATGCTTTTATTTTAGCCTATAATTAACATGGTTAGCTTTAGATCTGTCAGTTAGATGTGCCTTTGAGTTCTAAAGCCAATTCAATTTTCAAAATTTTCAGTGCTATTCAGATCTATTTTCTGTGCTATTCAGATATGTCCCAGAGGTGTTTGATCCAGTAGCTAATTAAAGACCTGGTGAAGACCTGTTTCTTAGTTAAATGATCACAATTTAGGATCAAACACAGTTATATACCTAGGAGTTCATAACAAGTAACAAGTTTTATGTTTTTTTTTTCTGTGCTTCTGTCTTTCCACAATCTTTTGTAATTCCCTGGAGTTCCCCACTTCATCTAATGGCAAGAAATCTGGGTCTTTATTTACTCTTCTCTGACATATACATCCTGTGAGTTTGCCCTTGTCTATTGGCCAATAGATAGGAGGTCTGAAAGAGGGAGAAAAAAAATATCGTAAGGATTTGCCTCTACAGCCACTCCAACCAGAGAGGAAGGTTCTACCCATTCCTAGTATTTTGAATACTCCAGGGCACTGTTTCTACCATTGTCACTGACTTCACTGTCACACTGGGCTTCCTGAATGGCTAATATATGGAAGAATGAAGACAAGGAAAAATAGTATCTCTTTTACTTCCTTTGAATTTTGGAGGACCTATTTCCTACTGTTCCAGAAGCTCTCTCTATCCATGCCAATGCCCCTTTGGGTTGGCCTGAATTCAGTCCAGAGGAGATTGAAAGAAAAAAATGGTGAATTCATCACCAGTTCAGTTTTTTTGTTTTTTTTTTTTTTTGGTCAGTCATAGGGCTTGAACTCTGGGCCTCAGCTCTTCAGCTCAAGGTGAGCACTCTACCGCTTGAGCCACAGCACCACTTCCAGTTTTTTGAGTGGTTTATTGGAGATAAGAGTCTCACGGAGTAGCTAGGATTACAGGCGTGGGCCACCGGTGCCTGGCACCAGTTCAGTTTTACTTCAAATTCTAGTGTTGTTTATAAATTTATCAGGCATAATTTACTCTGTGCATTCTGTTCAGTTTTATTTATTTTTCTGAGCTTGGATACTATGTTGCTCAGTCTGGAACACTCAGACTCAACTGATTCTCCTATCTCAGCCTCCTGAATAGCTGGAACTTCAGGTGTGCACCACTGTATCTGGAAAGAACAGGGTGAATGTGATTATTCTTCATTAACTGGAATCAGAACCTATATGGGGTGCAAGTTAGTTTGCATATTATAAATATTTATAGATAATGTAGTGTTTTTGGGGGTTTATATTTGTGGATAGACAGGTGAACATTTTTATGGTCTATCTGAGGCAAGTACTTTTTTTATTGTGAAAATACTGTACAGAGGGGTTACAATTACATGGGCAAGATAATGAGTACATTTCTTATCAAGCATTGTAGCCCCTCCTTTGTTTCCCGTTCCCATCCCCTCCCATCCTCCCCTCCCCCCCACCAAAGTTGTAAAGTTCGTTTTTCCACATAATGACTTGTACAGCTCATTGTTGCAATGGGTCCACCTGTATCCCTATTTAAACAATTTGTTTTTTCCCTTCCCCTCCACAAATTATACCAACCTCAAATACAGTGAAAGCAGGGGTTATACCATGGGGGAGGGACATACAAAGCAACAAAGAAATAATCTTATAAATGTGTTAGAAACAATCACCTGAAAGAAAAAAAAACATCTGAATACATATCTTAGGGTTCATTCAGATGCCCCTCAGTAGATGAATGGATCAAGAAAATGTGGTATATATACACAATGGAATTCTATGCCTCCATCAGAAAGAATGACATTGCCCCATTTGTTAGGAAATGGAAAGACTTGGAAAAAATTATATTAAGTGAAGTAAGCCAGGCCCAAAGAAACTTAGGTCCCATGGTTTCCCTTATTTGCAATAACTAGTATATATTTGAGTCAAGCCGAGGCAATTACTTTATTCAGTAATAGTGTTCTGGTAATTTATTTTCATGGAAGTAATCATTTTCAGACTTAGTACCATAACTGAAAACATCATCGTTTTATTATCTCAGGGGTTCAGGCACTGACAAAGATCATCTAGGCATTAGGGTCTCCCATATAATACAATAAGATGATGACTAGGTATTTAACTATTTGAAGGGTAACTCTTGTGTGTATTTGCTACTGGTTTGGGGACCACACAAAAAGTTAGGGCTCCTATGATGTCTGTCTCTACCGCAAAAGGGTCTCCCTAAATGTTTTTTTTAAAACCATGTGACAGCTTTAAATAGCCAAATTTCTTTTTGAAAAAAGTAAGAAAGATTAAAAAAAAAGAAAACCCTCAGGGTGCCAATGTTAGTGGAGATAAAGTGGGGAAAAAAAAGAAACCAGGGAGAACCTAACAGGGCATAGCGCTGCATGCTAGGACTGTAATCCCAGCTATGTGGGAGGTGGAAATGGAAGGGTCATAATCCATGGGCCACTTTGCAAAAGGGAGACACTATTTGAAAAATAAAGCACAAAAGAGCTGGGGGATGTGCCGCAAGTGGTAGAGTACCTGGTAATGCCCCAAGTTGAAACCCAAGTAACAGCCAAAAAAATCTCCAAGACTTACAGGAATTACATATGGATTGGATTTTCTGCCACACTCTTGCAAGTTATATTCTCTATGGCCACATTGGCTTCTTTAAGACAATAAGATCCATCAGATTGAAGGGAAGGGGACATACTGTCTACCTCTGGATGGTGGTTGGCAAAATTCTAGTAGGAGGTCATAATATTATCTTCAATATGACCAGCTTTCAGCAAATGTGGGTTTTAGTGTTTCCTGAAATTGGATCAAGTTTTCTCATTATTGTATAACTTTCTCTAGGACTCTCCAGGTTTTTAGTATTTGCAATGTCATTATGGGAACCAAAGGTATATGGATTCCTTTTGCAGGGGTGGGTGACAGGCCGGAGGTGTAGGCAAAGACACTAACTAAAGTCTAGATTAGGAAATTTCTGTTGTAAAGAAGTCATTAGTGGTCACCCAGAAAGAAATCAGGAAGGTGGGTGCTCTGAATAGCTTTCCTACCTTCTTCTATACGGACTCTTTTAGGAGATAAAACTTAAGGTTGTTGATGGAATTTCAGAATGATTCAGTAAACACGATCTCACCAGGAATTTGGTGATTAGACTGAGCTCTCTTTTCTTCACGTGGACCAGAGGAACGAGGTCAATGGAAAAGTTCTATTTCCTAAGTATGTGTTCCAAGAACGTTTACCCTCCAGTTCACTTCACAATTCTGTTCCAGGTTAAGCTTTTTCCTAAGATTCAACTAAAGACTCTCTGGCATCAAAGTATGCTCAGGGCAATCCCTCACTCCACTGACCCTGCCTTAGGACAGACCATTTGCTGCATCTCCTTCAATAGCAAGTGTTTAATTTCCTCTAGTTTAAACCGCTTCCTCAAGAGGGTGAGTTCCATTCAGAATAAGAAGTGAGTCTATTCCCTGTGCAATGAAAAAGCTATTTCACCTCCATTTCTCGAGTAGAGGTTTGAATGAATGCTAGCAGATTTTAGGGAGTTCTGGGAGATGGAGGGCTATCAAACAAGTGAAGAAAGAGAATGGTAGGGGTAAGGTATTTTCCTGGCTCCTCAGTTCGCTCGGAGCCCCCATTTCACTGGGTCCAGCATGGACAGTAAGTGTCGCGACATCAAACTCTTCTACGCGGTGGCGCCAGAGACTTCCCAGCTGATGCTCCTACCAGGAGCAGGCGACCTCTGCTGTCCCATTTAGGCAGCAGCGTTGTGGCTTACTGCCTGGGAAGTGGCTCAGCGACCCCAGTGAGCCTGGCCAGGTAGAGCCAGACCGGATGAGAAGCACAGCAAGGCCAGGGGCATCCGATCCGTAGGTTCCGGTTGGCCCCGCCCCAGCGACGGAGTGTGCGGGTGCGGCTCGGCGTGGGGGGAGGGAGGAAAGGCCGAACAGGTGCGCGGGCGGGGGGCGGTGCTTGGGGATCCTGCGCACTGCGCGTGCCCCTCCCCCGCGCGCCTCTTGGCGCGGCCCTGCCCGGCGTGAGCAGGAGGAGGAGCTGCGGCGGCTGCAGCCACTCAAGGAGGTCGGTGCCGCTGTGTGGACCCGCCGAAGGCGCGGGCTGCTGGTCCCGCGTGGAGAAGGTGCGGCGGTCCTGGGGCTATGGAGCCTGGTGACGCGGCGCGCCTGGGCCCCGGTTGGGCTGTCCGAGTGCTGCCACCAAAGCTGCTACTGCTGTCGCTGCTGCTGCCGCTGCTGCTGGGCCGGGGGCTGCGTGCAGGGGCTGGGGCCTCTTCCTCTGGGGCGGTGGCGGAGGACAGCAGCGCCATGGAGGAGCTTGCCACCGAGAAGGAGGCTGAGGAGAGCCACCGGCAAGACAGCGTGAGCCTGCTCACCTTCATCCTGCTGCTCACCCTCACCATCCTCACCATCTGGCTCTTCAAACACCGCCGGGTGCGCTTTCTGCACGAGACCGGACTGGCCATGATCTACGGTGCGTACCCCCAATAGCATCCCCCACCCCCACATCCCTCAGGCGGCGGGGCCTGTGCGCCCCTCCTCTCTCTGCTCCCCTCCCGGTGCGATGCCATGCACCCCCCTTCACTTGCCGACGTGTTTCTTTTGCGTTTCCCGCTGTCACCGGGTGGGTTCCCAAGGTCACCTGGCTTCATTTTCTAGTCTTCTACGATCGTGTAAAAGCAATCTACCACCAGGAACCCAGGAAGATAAGACACAGAGGTGGCCCGGTTCCTTCCGCCCTGTTAGGTCTCTCTCCATCAGCATCTTTCTCTCGGTCATCCCTCCCCCCTCCCGCTCCTGCCCGCCCCAGTTCAGCTGTGCAGAGTGTATGTGCAGAGGCTGGATGGTTCCCCAGGGACCGCACTACCCCTAGGGGACAGGCCACAGTAGGGGGGGTTATGGTTATGCCTTGGCCTCTTGCCACCCATAATCAGCCCAGGTGGGTGTCCACTTCTGAGGACTCTGTGACAGGTCTCTTGTGAATTAAGTCAGCATGAAAAGGTGTGAAAGGCCATCATGGTCAGGGATCCAAAGTGCTGACACCACTCATCAGGCCTAGACAGGGAAACAGATACACTTGCCTCCTGCTCTTATGTCCCAGTGGGAAGTTCTATCCAGTTACTTGCTTTCCCCGGGGCAAGAAGAGGTTTTGTATTTCTAAAATGATAATAGAAAAACTTTGAACATATATTTCTGCTATGTGAAAAGCATGAGTAGAGCATTTAATTCTGGAGCCAGACTTCTTTTGTTTTTAAAGAGGGACTGATGCCACCATCCTTTTCTGGATTACATGGTACACAGTGTGTAACATGGATGGTGGTCAGTGCCAATCTCCTGTTATAACATGAATAATAACAGCTATAATCTGAGTCATCTCTCTCCTCCTCTGCTCCTCCTCTCACTCCCCCCACTCCCATGCCTCTAAACTGGGGCCAAGTATTCTTGAGTTTAATTCAGTGGCATGAAAGCCCACATTGGCATTCTCCAGTGAAACACTTAAGCCACTTCACAACTGCTCCCCAAGAGGCACGTTTTACTCCATAACTTCTGCTGGAAGGATCTCTCCACTCAGTTTCCATCCAGGGCTTCCTGATAGAGAATGGAAAGCAGACACTTTAATCTTTAATGTGAAAATGACTCTTGGTCCTGGGCTTCTTGGGCAATTGTTCATAGCTGGGGTTGAGGGCCATTAGGCACTTTCAGGCAAATTGATCAGGAATCCCCCAGTTTTGAAGTAATGGTGTAAACATCTTGATTTGAAATGATCAGCTCTAAAATGGAGTTGGTTATTGTAAATCATAGGTCTCAACATAGACCTTGGCCTCCATACCTGGCTGTTGGTGAGCTCTGTGATTTGTGTCAGTTGGTGACAAATGACTGATTGCCCCAGCAGATAAGTAAGCTTGGGGGTTTTCTGAGTGGATACTGAATTTGGAATTGAAGCATGTTGTCACTTCAGGATGACTCAGAATCATTTAAATGAAGATTGCCTTAGCATATATATATATATATACATAGTACTGAAAATATTTCATTTTGTAGGTTCTGGATCCAACTCCTTAAAGTTCAGTATGAAATAGGAGGTCAACTTGATATGATCATAAATGTGTGGAAAGTAAATAGGGATTTAATTTAAATTATTATTATTTTTGTCTGAGGAGTACTCCATATTCTTAGGAATTCAAGTCACCTTTATCTTAAGGCTGATAAACAACATTGAAATTTCCTTTGCTAATACAGGTTTTAAAATTTCACCTCAACCTTTTAGCCATTGGGGCCATAATCCAATGTATGATTTTACTTTGTGGACAGTCATGTTATTATTTATGTATCTTACTGAATTGGTGATTAATCAGAAGAGACAATCCCATCTCCTAATTTTCCTGTGTAATTTTGTTCTATATTTTTGGGTCTTGGTGTTACTTTTAAATGTATGAAGAAATGTAGGTTGTGAATATTGGATGTCCTGCATTATGCCAAATATTAATATTTTGATGTAGATTGTTAGTAATGATGAGAAAATATTTCTCTTTTTCTCTCTGGGAGATATGGTTTTCTGTTTCATCTGAATTATTGTATACTGAAGATTATTGAGATGGGATTCTGATTAAAATTTCAACTTAATAATCTTTCAAAAATTATCTTTCTGGGTGCCAGTGGCTCATGTTTTAATCTTAGTTATTCAGGAGGCTGAGATCTGAGGATTGGAGTTTGAAGTTACCCCAGGCAGAAAAGTTCATGAGACTGTTATCTCCAATTAATCACCAAAAAGCCAGAAATGGAGCTGTGGCTCAAGTGGTAGAGCAGTAGCCTTGAGCAAAAAAGCTCAGGGATAGTTTTCAGGCCCTGAGTTCAAGCCCCAGGACCAGCACACACAATAAAATTGTATTGCCAGGCACTGGTAGCTCACTCTATAATCCTACCTACTCAGGAGCCTGAGATCCAAGGATCATAGTTCAAAGCTAGCTTCTGCAGGAAAGTCCATAAGACTTATATCTCCATTTAGCTAGCAAGAAGTGGCATAAGTGTGGAGTGCCAGCCTTGAACAAAAAAAGGCTAAGGGATAGCACCCAAGCCCTGAGTTCAAGCCCATTATCAGCACAAACGAATTGTCTCTAAGGTATACAACATTATGTTTTGATGCACATAGTGTAATGATTCCACAGTGTGACAACTCTTTGCACATTTCATTGAATGTAATACTGCTGTTTTCAATAGTAAGAAATCAGATTTTGTCTTAATATCAGTAGGGGAAGTGAGTAAATGTCCTCATGGCTCTGAGTAATGAAGGACAGAAAAAGCAAAAAATCTCCTTTGGGTAGTCTGCTTTGTGTTGGCTGTGTGCCGGCCATGTGCCTCCCTTTCTGGAGGCAAACCGTGTAACTTAAATGTTACTAATTTTTATGAGTGAGATCCCAAAGCTTTGTTTTGCAAAGTCATTTAAAGTTTTCTTTCTACAAGTTTTTATTGAAAGGAGTATTGTTTTTCCTTTCTTTTTGGCGATACTGGGGCTTGAATCCAGGGCATCAAATTTGCCCAGCTTGACCACTTCCAAAACTTTGCTCATTAATTGAAGATAAAAATCTCATGGACTTTTCTTCCTGGGCTGGCTTCAAAATTCAATCCTTAGTCTAATCCTTCTGAGTAGCTAAGATTACAGGTTTGAGCCACCAGTCCCTGACCATAAGTAACTTTAATATTAAAATATTTAAGCTATTGTAACCATAAAATTGCTCTGAAAGGACAAGCAATATACCAGGAGCATCACTTCTTTTTTTGGCGGGGGGGGGGGGGTCCAGTCGTAGGGCCTGAACTCTGGGCGTGGGTGCTATCCCTCAGCTCTTCAGCTCAAGGCTAGCGCTCTACCACTTGAGCCACAGCACCACTTCCGGCTTTTTTCTTTTTGCTTATGTGGTGCTGAGGAATCGAATCCAGGGCCTCATGCATGCAAGGCAAGTGCTCTACCACTGAGCCACCTTCCCAGCCCCGAGCATCACTTCTTTATGGGAAAGAAACTAGGTAGCCATCAGCTAGGAGTGGGAGAGCAATGCCACCCCTTTGTGCTATTTGAGTTTTTGAACTGTGGAAGTGGAATCACTTAAGAGGATGTCTGTGCCTCCTTACTGTGTCACTCATGAGGGCATTTTAAAGTATCCCTCAAGTCACTCAAGACAACCCCCATGTTCCCAATTTTTGGTTACCTTTCCAGTTGTTGACTGTACTCATGGAACTTCAGAAGCCCTGTACCTGAGACAGACATAAAACAGGGAAAGGGGTAAAAGCTTTTCTTCTTTTCCTTCCTTCTTTACTGCCATTGTCCCCAGGGAAGAGTTGATTGCATTTAGAATTAGGAGTGTTGCATAGATCCCATGGTATGTCCTTGCTTGGGTGCAAAGAACCTAAGGATATTAAGAAAGAAATGGTGAATGTTTAGCATTTAAATGGAAAGAAACCCCCCAAATCACTAAGGAACTCCTCCCTGACATGTGGCCCAGGCAGCTATAAGAGAAGGTGGCCAAAGACCTGATCCTTCAGGGAGGTTAAAAGCAGCCCCCAGACCCTGCTGTGACAGCTGCAAGCACCATTCTGACCTGTTTTGTCAGGCTGGCTCTGTTTGTGGTGAAGTGCCATCCTCATGTTACTGGGCTGTGCATGTCTGTACAGCAGAAATAGCAAATGTTTGAGGAAGGGAAAGGCAGCATAAACAGAGTGTGCCAGCTAATTGTGGTTCTTTCTTGTTTGTATAGTAGTTCTACTTCCCCATAGTGTTTTTGTGCCAACTGACATAGATCCAAAATATCTTACTGTGCTGTGCTAGCCCACTACCTGCCTCACATTTCTCCCTGTTCCTCACCTACAGCTCTCTGAGGACTTGTTGGCCAACCCCTTAATTCTATGAATCATCCGTGGCTCATTGCTGGTCTATTGATGGATTAGGGTTGGATTGCTAAACACAGCTTGAGAGTGGGCTTATAGTCAATATCTTGAAGAGGAAAGTGAGAGTCTTTTTAGTCATGTGAAGTTAATGTACAAACCTGTGTGTTAGTGAAATTTTTTCATTGCTGTGACCAAATACTTGAGAGAAACAGCTTGAGGAAAGGTTTATATTCTTTCACACTTTCAGTCCATCTGGCAGGGAGGGTGATATGGAACAGAGAAGCTCACATCATGGCTTCTGGGAAGCGGAAAGTGAGAAGAGGAGAGAGGGAATGTCTGTGCGTGGGATCTTCTTCCTCTTTATTTCATCAGGGTCCCAGCCAAAGGGATGGTGTGACCCACATTCAGAACAGGTCTTCTCCCTCCAGTTATTTCACTCTGGAAACACTCTCCCAGTAGTTTGTTTTACTACTCTCCTAGGTGCTTCTCAATCCAACAAAGTTGACAACCAAGAGTAACCATCATCATACGTTTACGCATTGTTAACTTGACATGCCAACACTTCTCCTTAAGCTCTAACACACAACCTCTAATCTC